TTTTTTTTTTTTTTTTGTGGGAGGGGGGCTGGGTTTTGGTCGATCTATCAAACAATCTATCGATCAATTGATTGGTCCATCAATCGATTGATCGACCAACTGGTCTAACTATAGACTGATGTAATGATTGGGATGATTGGTTGGTTGGTCAGATGAACCATAGAGAGGCGAACAAGTCGTTCAAGCGGGGAACTCATCAACACAGTATGGTAAGATATGCGGCGGAGTTGCATGACCTGTCAACCGATCGGTCGAATGATCAATCCAATCTTATCGGATGATAGGTCGATGAAGGATTCTGGTGGTGGATCAATCGATTGATTGGCATGCCAACCAATCAATTGATTGGTCGACCAATCGATTGACCGATCAATCGACTGATCTAGATTGAATTGATCAGTCGATCAAACAATCGGCTGGTCGATTAATCGATTGATCAACCAGTTTATTGATACATTGATCGGTCGACCGATTGATCCAATCTAGTCGATCGGTCGACTACGTGATTTTGTCTCGTTCCTATTCTTTTTTTTTTTTTTGGGGGGGGGAGAGGGGGTGTGACGAGCGCGAGGCTGAGGGAGAGCCGAGAGAGAGGAAAGCGAGAGGGAAAGAGTGAGAGCACACACACACTCACTCACTCGACACGACTGAGGGTCGGACGGAGACACATTGGCAAGGGCACAAAGTCGAAGTCTTGGATTCCGAATGCCGAAACAGGAAGTCACACTGAGTACGAGTACTACAACTGAAAACTGGTACGAGACTGGTCCCTGTACTGTACGGGGAGCTGGTGCAAGTACCGGTGACACGTAGGGTACCAGGGGCATTTCCGCAAAAGCCTCGAGGGCAAAACTGAAAAATGCGTTATTTGAAAGTGACGCCCCAATTGCGACATGACACCAGTTGTCCAAAATCCGACGGTACCAAAGGAGGGGTATGGAAAAAGGGTGCCAAGCCGACAATGGGATGCGGCAAAAACAGTACAAAGATAGACCAGGGATCGAGCCCTGGCGGAGTACGTAACACTATCCCCTCCCTCTGAAAGGCAACGTCCCGACTGCCAAAAAGCCAAGGAAACAAAAGAAGCTGTGAAGGACGGGATGGGGTCGATCACTGGTCGGAGAAGGAGAAGGGGAGTGATGCAAGTCACATGATATTTTGTCTGGTGTTCTGCACAGGTGAAGGTATGATGTAACTGGGTGGGTCTATAAGGGAAGCTAAGCAATGTTAAAGGAACAGGGGATTTTTATTGATGTTCTACTTGGTAGGGGAAACGATGTTCAGGAAAACAGGGAATTTCTATTGATGTTCTAGTGGGTAAGGGAAACAATAGTAAGGGGAATAAGGAATTTCTATTGATGTTCTAGTGGGTAAGGGGAACAATGGTCAGGGAAACAGGGATCTGCTAATGATGATCTACAAGGTTGTCAAAATCAGGAAAAAAAAAAAAAAAGTTTGTTCAGGAGGCAAGGGTTGGTGTGTCCAAAGGAGTTAGAAGCAGAATCTCATGTAGGAACAAAGTGTCCAAGTGTTTTGAAAGGGGATATGCAGCGGTCTTGATCAGGTCTTGGAGTAGGTGGTAGAAGCGGTCTTCAACGGCTGCGACAAGTAGAAGTCCAAAAAGCGTAACAGTAGTTTAAATGTCCAAAGTCCAAGTGCTAAGGTCAGTCCGGTACACGAACTGCAATGAGGTCTGATTTGGAAGCAAGGAAGTCGCAGACTGATGCAAAGATCCATGTCACAAGTTGCTGCTCCAGTAAGTCCGCGAGTCGGGATGCCGACCGATGAAACAGCATGGTGGCCAAACCAGCTGCATAATCTCCATGAACAGTGAGGCAGCATGCCATCGTCCTCGTGCGCTTGCCATTAGATCCATTATCATCGGCGTCATGCGGGTTCATAAGCATTGGACAAGAGAGACAAGGTAGTGGAGAGGAGAAATGAGACAAGGCTAGGCGAGGGCAAGGGCAGATCAGACATCAGGAATCGAGGTCGAGGGGAGGGTGGACTGGGTTCAAGAGTGTATGTAGAACGAGGTTGCGAGGTTGTAGTAAGGTTTATACAGAGGTTTAGGGTTGTAGTTACGTGGGTGTCTAGGACATAGGAGTAGCACGATCATAGGCGCAGACACGTTTCACAGCATTCTTGAGATTCGAGAGAGGTTCCCATGTAGATTCTTCGTTGGGGTATCCGGTCCATTTGACTTTGTATTCAGTGATTGGTTCCGGGTGGTCAGATACCTGAGTAGTTCGTCGACCTATGATTGCTTCAACAACGAATTCCGGGTCTGTGGATAATATGATAGGTGGAGGTATAGGATATGGGCGGTCAACGAATTGGGGTGGGGATTTATGATATTCTTTCAAGTATTCGATGTGGAAGACCGGGTAGCCGCGGCTCATGTCAAGGGGGAGTTGGAGTTTGTAGTTGACGTCAGAGGTTTTTTCAATAATGGGGAAGGGTCCAAGCCATTTGTTCGAGAGTTTCATTGACAATTCACGTTCGGGTTCAAAGCGTTTGGCGGAGAACCAGACTTTGTCCCCTACTTTGAATTGTAAGTCTCGTCTGTGTTGGTTGATCTTGTTTGCTTGTTGTTCTTGTGTTCTTTCGAGGGCTTCGGTTGCTTCTCTGAGGAGTCGATTCGTTGTTGTTACCCATTCATTGAGGGAAGGGCAGGGTGTGGAGGTGAGGGAAGCAGGAAATCAGAGGGCAAACGCGGATGGTAACCAAGGTCAAGGTAGAATGGAGGCATGCCAGTGGAAGGACAAACAACGTTGTTGTAGGCGATCTCGGCGGCGGTGAGCAACTGATCCCAATCGTGTTGATGTAGATGACAGTTCTTCCGTAGGATTTTTTAGAGAGTATCATTCATCTTCTCGGTTTGTCCATCGGTCTGTGGGTGGAATGCAGTGCTATACTTGAGTGTAGTTCCGTAGGTATTGAAGAGTTGTTTCCAGAACTGCGAGAGGAAACAGGGATCGAGGTCGTTGATGATATTCTCCGGGAGGCCGTGGTGGCGTGCAATATGGTCGAAGAAAAGTAAGGCGATCTCTTTGGTGGTGTACGGGGTGGTGCAAGGAATGAAGTGGGCGCGTTTGGTCAGGCGGCAGACAATGACATAGATGCAATCATGCCCGCGGTCAGTCTTAGGGAGACCGCACACGAAGTCCATGGAAATGGACTGCTACCGGTGAGTGGGGATAGCCAATGATTGGAGCTTGCCGGGTTCGGCCCGGTTTGAGGGATTGGCAGCCTGACACGTGGGACATGAGCGAATGTATGTTTTGACGTCGGCGAGTAGAGAAGGCCAATAGAAGTAGCGGGAGACGGTGTCGAAGGTTTTATGGAAACCAAGGTGACCTGCGGTCTTGGCGTCGTGGTGCTCGGCCAAGAGTTGGGTACGGAGACCACGTATGTCAGGGATGCACAATCGGCGAGTGCCTTTGGTGTCGATGTAGAGGAGGTTGTTGTGGAGGGAGTAGTCGGGGACTGGGTCAAGATCGCTGAGCTTGTTGTAAATGGCGGTGAAGTCTGGGCAAGAGAGGTAGCCTTGGGTGTATCGGTGATGGGGTGATGGGTGGAGCTGGATATGGGTCATGGTGGCGTAGACTTTTTCGGGGCGCTTGTGGTAAGGTCGTCGAGAGAGGGCATCAGCAACGCGGTTGCTTTTGTCGGGGGTATGACAAATGGTGAATGTGAACTGGGCAAGGAAGTCGAGTCATCGAGCTTAGTGTAGGGTGATGTCTTTCTTGGTGAGGATGAAAGAAACGATGGTGTTGTCAGTGCGGATGGTGAAGTATTTTGTCGAGCTACGGGCGCCAGACTGTGAGGGAGTGAATCACGACGAGGAGTTCCTTCTTATTGGAGGGGTAATTCATCTCCGCGGGAAGAAGCTTCTTGCTTGCGAAGGCGATGGGTTACTCGCCGGGTGGAACCTCGGGGTGAGTGGGCGAGTCCTTGATGGAGGGGATCTCGACGGTGTCGCGGGGGAAATGTTGGGACAGCACGACTCCAATGGCGAAGTCGGAGGCATCAATGGTGACATAGAAATGACGAGTGGGGTCGGCGATCTTGAGGACAGGGGCCGTGGTGATGGTTTGCTTGAGGAAGTCGAAAGCGTGTTGGCGGCGATTGTTCCAATTCAAGGGCTTGTCCTTGTGTGTGAGTTCGTGGAGAGGGTAAGAGATCTCGAAAAAGTTGTGAATGAACGGGCGGTAATAGTTGGCAAGGCAGAGAAAGGAACGACGTTGGAGGAGGGTCTTGGGTGGGGGGTACTCGACGAGGGCTGTGACCTTCGAGGGGTCCATAGGGATGCCTTCAGCAGAGATAATGTGGCCAAGGTATCTGACGCTCGAAGCGGCAAACGTACATTTGTTGAGCTTGGCGTATAATTTTTGCTCTCGGAGGATCGAGAGGACTTGGTGAATGTGCTGAAGGTGAGACTCGAAGGTGGGGCTAAAGATGAGGATGTCATCAAGGTAAACGGCGACACAGACTTCGAGGAGGTGACGGAAGATGCGGTTCATGCTGGACTGGAATGTGGCGGGGGCATTGGTGAGTCCGAAAGGCATTACAAGGAACTCGTAGTGCCCGAACCGAGAGCGAAATGTGGTATTGTGGGTGTCCTTCTCACGAATACGGATCTGGTGGAAGCCACTGCAGAGGTCGATTTTGGTGAAATATTTGGCTCCACGGAGGCGATCAAGAAATTCAGATATCCAGGGGAGTGGGTACTTGTTCTTGATCGTGATCCGGTTCAAGGCTCGGTAGTCTGTGCACATGCGGAGTTCTGAGGTGTCGTTCTTCTTGACGAAGAGACAATTGGTTGCAAAGGGGGAGGAGCTAGGCTTAATGAACAACGTCGCCTCAACACCATGATCTCTTCTGCGTGTGCCGGAACTGCACAGTTCCAGCTCTAGTTTATCGTCGTCTCCCTTGGCGCATCAACGGTGAAGTTTCGGGTCCTCCTTGATATTGGTGCCACCGGCAACTTCATCACCGAAGTCTGTGTCGGTAAAGTCGGTCTCTCTTCCACCGGCTATGACCCCCCGATCATCATCCGACTAGGGGATAAGGACTCAACCATTGGTATCGATCACACTGTTCTCGAGACCCTTATGACTGACGATCCTCTTCGCAGTCAGGTCTCCTTCGATGTCATGCACCTCATGTGCGACATCGTCTTGGGGACTCCATGGCTTGACCGTTTCATGCCATACTCCTTCCACCCCTCCTTCGTTCGACTCACCCGCCCTCCTGACTCTCCTCTTGATATCCCTTACCTTCTCCCCCCTTCTACCCAACCCCCTATTTCCCCTCACCAGTTCCTTCACATATCTTGTGAACACCCCGACTCCACTTACTATTGTCTTGTTATCGACCAAGAGTGTCCCGAGGACTTGCATCCAACGGACAAATCCAACCAAGACCCTCCTTCCGATCCTCACATCACCGCCCACCTCTCTGAATTCAAAGACGTCTTCCCTGAGTTGCCCGCCGGTTTACCTCCCGATCGAGGTGTATCTCACACCATTGGCGGTCAACCGGCTTGAGATGCCAGCGACGGAAGTGGGAGAGTGTCCGGAGGGAGTCCTGTACAAGACCGAAGGATGGAGAGGAGGCATGGGGCGGGGGTGTTCTCCCAGATGGCTTGTTAACCAACGAGTTCGCGATGGATATCCGCCACGGAGTCGTCGCGGAAAGAGCTCATGCTAAGGCTTGAAGCACCTTCGGCCATTGAAGAGGACGAAGGCGAGGTGGCGGAGGAAGATGGCACAGTGGAGGTGGTAGCAGCGGATGCGATAGCGGCAGCGGCAGCGGCAGCGGCGGCGGCGCATCGGGAGGTCTTGGTTTGGCGTGGTGGCATCTGGAGAAAGGGGGGACAATTCCTATTTACAAGAGTAGAGCGTCATCAAGTGATTTAGCAATAAAGGTAGCAGAGAATCGCAGAGCAAAAATTAATTTTGAATAAATTAATTTGAATTTATTCAAAATTAATTCAAAAATATATTTTTCAATAAAAAAGGAAAGCAAAAATTTTAGGAATTTCCAAATGAAAAGAAATAATTAATTATGAGGAAAAAAAAAGATTGATTCAGTCGTGAATGAATTCGAACGAAAAAAAATTTGAATTACAAAACTTCCGAAGAATAATTAGTCAAAATTATTTTCGAAGTTCGTAGTTTTCAAAAAAAAATCGAAAACGAGTTAATTAGAAATATTGTCGAAAAAAAAATGTTGAAAAAAAAATAAAAAAATCTGAATTATTTTGAATTACAAAAATTTAAAAAAACAATTGATTACGAAGAAATGCGTAATTTTAAAATTTTTGAAAAAGAATTAATTAAAAATGATTAAAAAATATATATATATTGAGAAAAAAATATCAAAAAAGAGTGTAATTATTATTATTATTTTTTTGAATTACAACATTTTGGAAAATAATTAGTTTAATTTGTTTTCCAATTTCGGGGAAGAAATGTCGAGAAAAAAATGATTAATCCTACGTATTTTTGAACATTTCCAAAAAAAAAATACGTTTGAGAAAGAAATGTCGAGATAGTAAATTGAGTATTTTCCTAGGTTACCAGTGGTCCGGGGGGCCGGTCATCTCCCCCGGACGTCTCCCCCATACGTCCGGTACCCCCATCGTCCAGGGAAACAGTTTTTTTTTGGTAAAAAAAAAAAAAAAATTATTTTCGGTTTTCGATTTTTAACTCATGATTTACTGCGAATTTGAACATTACTCCAAGGCAAAAGTTGCTTGTATTGTTATTTTACATAACTTTTTTTTTTTTTCAGATTTTTCTGAGAACTTTTTTTTTTTTTTTTTTTTTTTTTTTTTTTTTTTTTTTTTTTGCACTAGGTCGGACAACCCTTGTCCGGTCGGACATCCGACCAGACGTCCGGTCGGACATCCCAGACGGTCAGGGGGGTTCCGGATGTCCGATCCAACAACCTAGGTATTTTTGAATTTACAAAAAAAAAAAAAAAATCAAAATGGGTTCTAGTCTTCTAGAAACTAGGTAGCAAATTTGGATATCCGGCAGACCAATTTTATCTGGAATTTTCGATCCGGATTAATTTCCGGATTAATCCCGGATATGGAAAATCCGGCCTTACACAAAATATTTTTTGTTACCGAAAAAAAAAAAACAACTCAAAAAAATATGGATAACAAGTATGTTGTTTATATGAGTGATAGGAACAACTTCTGGCCTGAGGGCATCTTTGATATCTCAACAGATATGAAGATAAAAACTAAAACAGAAGAAGAAAATAATATTTAGATAAAAAATTATAGAATGAATTAAGCATCCCCCCTCTAAACCCTTTTATTCCCTATCTTACCCCCTTTGAACCCTTCAATACCCTATCAAACTTTTCATGAAAAAGGAACGTAGTTCTATTGTAGTTTACATGCGCAATATCACTTTTTTTTTTCTTTTTTTTTTTTGCTTTTTTTTACCTTTTTTTTAATCATCCGGATTCTCGGATGATCCTACCTTCCGATCATCCGGCCAGATACTCCGACCAGAATATCCGGCCAGATAACCCATGCTACCTAGTCTAGAAATAAATAAAATGAATTTTGATGTAGATCGAGGGCGGAGCGATCCTATCTACTATTGATTGGGTGGTAGCGTGGTAGGTAGGGCATGGGTAGATTGATGATGATGATGATGATGATGATGATGGTAGGAGGGGGGAACATGGGGGAAAAGTCGCGCAGGGGGGGAGGGGGGAAAGCGGATTCAAGGATCGCGCGCGGGCTGGGCGTGGGGGGGAGGAAGTCGGGGAAGTGGGGATCGGGGGA